CTGAAAGAGTGGTTAAACATTGGACCAGGCTGCCCAGGGAAGTGGTTGAGTCCCCATCCCTGGAGGTATTTAAAAGACGTGTAGATGAGGCACTTAGGGACATGGTTTAGTGGGCATGGTGGTGTTGGGTTGACGGTTGGACTCGATGATCTTAGAGGTCTTTTCCAACCTTAATGATTCCATGATTCTATGAAATCCTTCTCCCCTCTCTGGGGAGAGGTTTAATTCCATGAACCTGCTGCCATGTCACCTCTTCACCAGGGCAGAGATGAGTTCAGGTCTTTTCCTTTGATGTGAATCAGCAATTGCACCAGCCGAGGAGGGGCCGGCTACCTACAGCAGTGCTTCTGCTGGGAAACCTAAGAGGAGGCATGTGGGCAGGTGTGCGTGTCTGTCTTGTTGCATGTCGCCCAGGGAGGTGGTTGAGTCCCCATCCCTGGAGGTATTTAAAAGACGTGTAGATGAGGCGCTTAGGGACATGGTTTAGTGGGCATGGTGGTGTTGGGTTGACGGTTGGACTCGATGATCTTAGAGGTCTTTTCCAACCTCAATGATTCTATGATTCTGTGATTCTATGTTGTTTAATATATTTGTGTTTTCTTTTTGTGCAGGGAAATTAGGTTTTGCTTTCACGGCCTCATAGCCCGTCCTATTGATCGTATTGACCATGGAGGACCATAGACTAGACGTGAAGCCTTCTGGATCCACAGTTGCGTCTTCCCTAGCACTGATTCTGGAAAACACACGCTGAACAGTCATCGGTCCCTGAAGAGAGCGTGACTTTTACTTTCTCTTTTTTTTTCCTTGCCACCCACCCCGGTTTTTTCCTTCATTGAGAGATAACTGACTCGATAAGACTCAGCACCCACTTGTCACCTGAGGAATGTACTGTATCAAAGCCCTGCAGACTTCTGGATTTTTTTTTTTTCCCTCCCCTCCTGCTTTCTCTTCCTACCTTCGGTTTTATTTATGTATTTTGTTATTTTCTCTCCTCATCCCCCTGGCTGTCACTGCTGCATCTCGGACGAATGCAGGTGACGGAGCACTACACGTCTTACCATGGACGCCAGGCCAGGTGCCGCAGCAAAGAACCCAGTTCCTGTGAGCTGCCTATATACGTTGCTGAAGTGACATTTTACACAAAACGTGCCATTGCAGTGATATAAATATATTTTTTTTCCTTGAATGGATAATGGATTATTATCTCCTCTGAAAGGTGCGCGTGTGTGCTTGTGTGTGCGTGTGTTTGCGTGCGAGTCACCTCGTGTGTAGAACTGCCTGTGAATGCGCTGAAAACATCTCCGGAAGCGCAGGAGTCCCCTGTCATATGAGAGCAGGCCAATAGCTCGTCTGCAATGGTAGCAAGAACACACACATTAAAAGATGTTTAAATTTCTGTATCTATAAGTGTATTTTTTAGCTGCCACGCTAACCTTAATGAGTAGTTCTGCAGCCTGAAACAGGGGCAATTTCCAGTTAGTTTTGGAGTTGTGGATTACAGGATCCATAAGGGTGCTAAAGATTTTCATAAGTGTTGTTTATTCGTACTAATGCCCTGTTCATGAATCCAGATCAACCAGTTTCTCAATGGCAAGGTGATGGAGGCAACACCTGCGTATCCACCCACTGCTAACCCTGGACTGAATTCTTAAGTAGCCTTTTTTACCTGCAAAAATAGGATTTTAAAGACTTGTTGAATGCGAACAAATATATGCAATTCTCCCATTCACGGAAGCACCTTGCTCTGTGTGCAAGCTGTGAAATCTTGTAACGTAATAGTCAAAACACTTCATTCGCTCCCAGCGCAGTTAAGGAACAAAAATGCAACAAGACCTGTAAGGTTACGGTAGTTAGCAAGAGAGTTGTGAAACGTGTCCTGTTCCTCGTGCGGGTGAAGAAGAGCTGGTGAAGTGCAGTAGAAGGCACTCTTCCGTGGCCCGAGGAACAGTGCTGCGACTTACTGGTACTGCCTAGAAAAGCTTTCCGTGTTTGGAGAATTCGCTGTTAATGTCGTGTAAGCTAGTTTCTGAGTGGAGCTGGGCGCTACAGCCCAGGGAACGTACGGCCGCTGGGTATTTGGAGCGGGGCAGGTGA